CCTCAAAAACCTCGAATTGTGTTGAGTTCGGAGCAGAGATAAAATGCACGTGGTCCCCGTTCGGATGTCACATGGAGCGAATCCGAGCTGAGGAGACCAGCAGAGGCAAGGGCTGTGGAAACGTAAGGGCAAGGGCAGGGGGAAGGGCAACGGGAAGCTGTAACGGAACAATCGACTGAACAGGGAAAACTCTGAAAAACTTTTCTACTCGAACTTGTACACACTCATTGGCAATTAATCTGCAAGCCACGAACTAAGACAAAGGTAATGCGCTGCGGGTGCTGCCCCACTTGCCCCCGCCAGCCTCTCGCCCACTCGCTCTCTCGCTCGCTCCGTGTGACAGTGTCTGTTGCAATTTGGATTGCATTTGAGCAAAATTTGTTTGCCATTGTAGGCGACAATTTAATTTTCATGCGCAGCAGCGCGAGTGGCACTCAAAGTTGCCATAGGGACAATGGCAAGGACGCAATGTGTGGTGCGTGGTGCGAGACGGGAGCTGCTAATGAATTGATTGGCTTAATTTGCAGCTGCTCAAGTTCAATGGGCATAACTTACTCGGGTGTCAACAAGAATTATTAGCTGGACCGCCAGCCAGTGATGGCTTGCCAGCAGGCTGCCTCAGTTGATTAACGGCTCTTTGAGTGGCCCGGAAGCAGCTTGGGCGACAGGCTTTATGGTATATTTTTATGGCCTTGCAGTCAAGTTGGCAAAGTGCAGCGGGCGAGCGTCAACTTATGGGCCCTATAAACGATCCGAGCCAAGCGATGACTGCTCGCACAACTTTTGCTCACCTGGCCCAATCACAGCTGCCACTAAAAAGTGGCTCTGCCTTTAAAGTGGGCGTGGCAGTGGAGACGCAGCTCCGCACAGTGCAAGCACTCTTGACGTTCCATTGACGTTGGGGTCGTGTGACTGCTGTCAGGACTCGAGCATGTACTTATGACGCGTTTCCCTCTTCTGCGTTTCCCTTTGTTGTTGTTGTTGTTGTTGTCGGTCATAGTCGTTTTCGAAACTTTGGCAAGTTTTTTGTTGGGCGTGTTTGCACCTTGGCGGTTGTCGCCTGTCAACAACTCAAAATGTTTCCGTGCAATCGCTTTTTACAGCTTCCGAACAATTTGATTTGATTCCATTAAAAAACTTGCTCTAGTGATTTCCCGTGTCAGCCAACCAGCCACCGCGCCATCAAGCGTTAAGCTGTAGCAATATATATATAAAGTATATATATATATAGATAGTATATATCACACCTCGCAGCCCGCTTGGCTCTAGATAATTGTGACATTGGCTGCGTCGTCAAGTGTTGCATACKTTTTTGCGCGATCCTTAGAGTCATCGTCGTCGTCAATGCATGTCATTTGCTGACAAACTTTTGTGCGTCTCTGTGTGTGTGTGTGCGTGTGTGCATGTTGGCTGATGTATTAGTTGCGCGCCATATTGAACGTCAGCGCGTAATGAAAACTTATAACTTTTGATACGATGCAATTTCAATTGATGGCACTCGACGACAGAGCCAATTGCCGGCTTAATACTGACAAATATGCCATCGAGCGAGAGCATCATGTTGCCAATGGCAAATAATCATGATGGAGCCTGGCACGAGAGCTTCTGATTGTCATAAAATGTGCTCGAGCAGAGGCAGCGCTCTGTGCATAAGTAGTTGGAATGCGGAGCGTCCTCGAGAACTGACACTTGACCTCTAAGAAATTGCACAGCTGGCTCAAAGCTGGCAGTAAGCCGTACGCCGTACGCCGTACGCCGTTAGCTGTTTGCGTTTGGTGCTTGTAAAACAACAGTTATTCTCGTTTTGGCTTCTATGCAAATCACAAATTGGATTAACAACGTTGCTGGCAAACAAATCCTTTTTGGGTTTGCGTTCCGAACTGTTAGTTATATTGCCATCATTTCTTTGAGCAATTTACATTTGACATCAGGCCGTTTCGAATTGCGGCGAATTGCAATATCGCTACATGTATGCCGAGTATACGCTCGACTAGCAGATATCCTTTAATTCATTTTTGATATTGTCTAAGCCTGAAAGAAGTTGATTAAGCGGAGAGTGTAGCTGTGTATGTCCTTTGCGATCCCTTTTCTTATTTTATCAATGCTTATTGTAGTTGTGTTGCGATAGTATTGACTGATATTAAATTTTGCGATAGTTCGTTGGATATTTTACTCAATCCTTTGTCCTATGTCCTTTGCGATCCTTTTTCTTATTTTATCAATGCTTATTGTAGTTGTGTTGCGATAGTATTGACTGATATTAAATTATGCGATAGTTCGTTGGATATTTTACTCAATCCTTATAGCTTTTACAATGCTTATAAGGATCTGCGAGGATGTTGGATAGTAGATGCTCTTCTTCATGATGTTTTGGTGTTAAAATTGCTTACAGACTAAAAAAATAAATTTTTATAAATTTGTAAATAAATAATAATTAAATTTATATGGCTCGATAATTGCGTCTAATTAATTTAAAAAATTAAATGATTTATGTCATAATAACTAATTGAATATATACATTTTATATAAATCAGCTGATTTTTGGATTTTAAATATCTACTATATATTTAATTGGAATCAAAAAAGACTTGCCATAATTCTCTTATTCCAGATAACCCCAGTCAAGTCTATTGTCGGCTTCGCAGCTTTATTGCTTCTATCCAGCTTCGTTCTGCAGCGCACACATTCGCCACATTCTGTATTTACAGGGTATGCGACTCTCTGGCAGCAGTTGCGACACTTTTTGAGCAGCATATGAAAAGTTTGCGTTTAGCTTTGGCTCCCATGCTGCCGCATAAAATTTATGATGAATTTTCCCCTCGACGCATATTGCAGAACATTTTTGGGACCGTTACATGCCTATGCGTGCATGTGTGCGCAAGTGTGTCATTGTGTGAGCGTGTGCAAGCGTGTGAGTGTGTGTGAAGGATTTCAGTGTACGCTGGGAATCGTTGCCATGAACTGCAACCACAACTGAGCCGGGCAGCAGCTGTTTCAGTGCGATGTCGCTCAACATTTTCCTATTTTTCGGTTTATGCGTGAAGTTCCATCAGGCTTGTCGTTTTCGTTTATCCTTTGTCGTTGTTGTTGTTATTGTTGTTGCTGTTGTTGGTTAGTCGGTTGTTTGACCACATGACGGACCCCATTCCCAGCGCTGCAAGTGTGTCCCCAGCCCGTTGATGAGTTGTACAATTGAAATTGTTTTAGTGCTTTTATGAATTGCGTTGATAACTGGGCAGTGTTGTGATTTTGCCTATTTTTGGCAGACTAACTAACCCGTATTTGGGCCAACAATCCGTGCGTAAACTTAATGAGCAGTCGAAGCTCCTAATTCGTGCCAGTATTCGCAGTTAATGCTCAATAGCTACAATTAGATAATGTGCTTCAGCAAGGACTCATCTATTTTTGCCGCTGAGCGCTTAAATTGAGCTGCACACATTTATGTGCCATAAAATATATAACACATTCCGCATAAGTCCATTTAGTATTAGTCCATAAATCACATGGAAATAATGCATTGCGACATGGGGGATAAATAAATATTTGGACACATAAACAAACTCGCCGATAAATCGCAATTGCGAGCTGATTGGCATGTAAACATAGTTAGCCAAGCTGCTGCGGACCGAGCTGGGCCTGGTCAGGGTAATTATTGAAACGGCCCGTTATCAAAGAACTGCCCGCCACAGGCCGTAATTGAGCGTGAACATATGATAAATAGATCTAATGGTCCATAATGGCAGCACTTTAAGCGGCACTTGGCCAGGGCCAATGTGAAGTTACAATTTTAAGGTTTTCTGGCTAAGATGCCTTCAGTGGCTCGAGTGCTCGGCTCTTGCAATTAGCCAAACAACAAAATGGCCGAGCAAATTGTCAAAGGGCAAGCGAAATTGTTTACAAACCAATTACTAGCGAGCGCCAGACAATGGCAACAGATTCAAGATTCAAGATTTCAGATTTCCAACTCGCTGACCTTTGGCACGGTCCGCTCTGGCTGTGATGGTGGCAGCTGCGACAGCAAAATTAAGCAGAACGCCAAAAATTGCGTTATCTTAATGAGTTTAAACGTTAATCAGGCTGGTGGGCGGAACAGTGGGAGTGGGGCAGCAGGCACTGCAAGTGGACACGCGGAAGTGGGCCGTGCCGCAGCGGAAATGGTGCAAAGTTTGTGGCAACTGTGCCACAGGTCGGGTCGGTTTGGTTCGGGTCGAGGAAGCTGAAGCGAGACGTTGCGCGACGCTGCGGGCTCGCCCGCTAACTTTTCAAACAACAAATTTGAGCTGGCCAAAGGAGTTGTTGCTGCTGCTACAGCGGAAGTCGAAGTCCGAGCAGCGCGGATACATATTAAATTAATAATTTGACCTCATCCAGCTGCAGCCCACTCAAGGCAGAAGCACAAGCCAAATTACAAAACATCCGCTCGAGAAGATTTCTGTTTTGTGATTGCGGCAAGGACAATGCCGCAGCAGCGTATCCTGTCCCTCCGCGGCTGCCATGTTGCACTAATGTTGCGGGCACTGCTACAGCCACAGCCACAGCCACAGCGTCTGGCGAGATAAACAATTAAAAACTTTCGCAATTTGCGGTAATTTCACTCCAACTAAGCGCGCCACCACCGACGCCTAATATTGGGACAGCATTTCAGTGGGCCAAAGCAATTATGATGATGTCATAATTAGGACAACCACACTCGGGCTTACCCACCACTGTATAAGAGAGTGTCCGACTGACTGACTGACTGACTGATGCCTGACTGATGGGACTAACTGGAAAACTTGTTCGTTGAGCCAACAGCTCATGGCATTATTATCGCATTCCTCTTATCTTTTGTTGACTGATTGAGGTGAGCTCGCATCGAATTGCATTGCACACGTTTTTGTTGATTTTGCACACGCCGAGCCCACCCGCTGAATGAATATTCAACTGAGTGCAAAAATACTTCTCTCTGCGCTCGGCACTCGGCACTCGGGCAACCAACGGCAGCTATAAATAAGTTCAGTGAAATTGTTGTAAAAGCCAGTAAATTCTTAAGAAAGAACCCCGAAATACGAAATACTTCGAAATACTTCGCAATACTTTTAAAGGCAACTCGAAAATGGTTTGCAAGGGCTGTGGCACAAGTGAGTATACAAAATGCAAAAAAAAAAAAAAAAAAAAATATATATGATTTTCATCTTACACTCATTGATGGCCATAAATTATCTCACCTGCGCAGACTGCAAGTGCAGCGACTCCAAGTGCGGCGACAACTGCTCGTGCAATCAGGACTGCAAGTGCGTCTGCAAAACGGGCACTAAGGAGCAGTGCTGCAGCACAAAGACCACGTAGACAATCTAAGTAAACGGATATTGTTCCAATTAAGCAGAAATCAAGCACTCATCTCTGAGTGAATGCAAACAAATGGAGCTGCTACGAAAAAATGTGAAAAACAAAATAAAGCAAAATGTTTACAATATGTGTTAAATTCTGCCTGAATATATGTATTTATGTTTGGCATATCTTGATATGCCTTGATTGATGCAGTTGGCAGTTGTTCGTGCTTTTATCTTCTTTTGGGGCGAAATGGCTATGGAGCTACTTGATAGTTGATGAAACTTCACTTAAAGTTTTTTAATTGAAAAAGCGATATGCAGATGCCCCATTAGTTAAGAAGAAACATTTAATCGTAGCATAAATTTCATATTTATAAGGCCAGTCGGAGCTGTGGCACATTAGATATGTACATACATATTCCACTTCTTTATCTCTTGAAGTTATGTTTTAGATATTGCTATCTTTACCTAGAGTACAAAAAGGGGCAGCAAATCAGTCGATAATTCTAATATTCTGTTATCATATATCCATTATTTCCTTTACCTTGCTACATTTCTAATATTCCATTTAGTATCCAATATAAAACATAGTTTGAGGAACACAAAAAGTAAATATACGTCGACTGGTGTCGGCTTTGGTGGCTTTACGATGTCATATATATACACATTTCTATCTAAATGAGTTTCATTGAAATGCGCAATGCATTGTTGCTATTGTTGTTGCTATTGCTGTTGCTGCTGGAGCGTGGCGCTGACAAACTGCGAGTGCAGTTTATGTGGTCTCATTTGGGCAATGGGAAGCAACATGCCACACAGAATGATGACACTTGTAAGTGTGCGAAAGTAATTTACTAGACAGATGTGTTTGTGTGTGAGGGGTGGGGGGCAGGGTTTTCTGCAGCAAGTTTCGTATACGCCACGTTGGCCAGAATAGCTGCCAGTGGAGGGTGAAGTACTTAAACAATTAATTAACGCTGCTTGAGCTAAACATTTATGCAGCCAACAATGAGGCACGACTAGACAAAAAGACGCCGACACACCACAAAATGTTAAACTTGCCACAATGCGTTGCCCTCTTAAGCTGCAATATGGAGGGGGAGAGAAAGAGAGAGAGAGAGAGAGAGAGAGAGGGAGAGAGAGGGAGCGGACAGAGCTCCTCTGGGTCTGGCTCATTATGAGCTGTAGCTATTTAAGCCCGAACAATGAACGCGCAACATTCCGCAACCGTTCCGCCGGGACTGTCTGTTAAGTTTTGCTGTGTTTCCTCTTCAAATTTTCTACACATTTCTAATTAGCAGCTGCCATCAGCCAAGCGTTGTCTCCATATAACATACATACATACATATATGTATGTATATACATATATCAGCTGTGCAGCTTAGTGCGGCTGTTGAACGATTTACGCTATTTGATTAGGCCGCGATTCCTAATCAATTAAGACTGATGGCTTATGCACTAAAGTTGAGAGGAGATGATTAAGTTTTGGTTCTTGGCTTTGGCTTGTTGACCAATTGGCCAGCAAACTAGCCGCAAACATTTGCAACACACTCTAACCAAGTTTACTGCGCAACACTAACGCAAAAGTTTGCAACACTTTTTAGGTTGTTCTGCCACACTTCCTGCTCCTGCTCCAGCTCGAGCTCTTACTCCCATCATCCTATTTATACAGTTTAATGAGCATCCCTAGCTCGGTTTTACTTTACTCTGCGGCTGTGGCGGTGGTTGTTGATGTTGTTGTTGTTGTTATTGTTGTTGTCTGGCTTATTGTTGTGGCACAGCTTTATATTCTTGATGGTGATGTTGCTGTTGCTATTGTTTTTGTTGTTGTTGCTGTTGTTGTTGTTTCTGTTGCTGCTGTTGTCTGTGGCACTCGTAACTTTGCCGCAAAATTGCTTGTTTCCGTTTCCGTATTCTCGCCTCTGAACGGCCCTCGACGACTTCTCGACTGACGCCCCCACTGATAGATGCCATTATGACCCTCAGTCGAGGCGCTGCCAGCAAAAGTGGGCGCTGCCAGCAATTAAAGCCAATTATGCTGAAATGTAATTGTTTTAAGCAGATTTCTTTTTTCGACTGCCATGGCTGCCTCCACTTGGCCTTTGACTTGCTGGCGCCACGCACTTTTGTGGATTTGTTGGCTCTTTCGCTTTTATTGTTTGATTTGGCGTTTTTTATTTCCGTTTTGTTAGGAGCATCGCTTGGGGCGCTGCTTGACATTAAAATCAACTAAATGCGTTCGGCTAAATGCAATATGCAATGAGCCCGTTTAAATAAATTGTCACAATTGTGTTTAATTAAAAACTTTTTAATGTATGTGAGCGCCAATGACCATGTGCAAATGTGTGTGTGTGTGTTGGCCATAAAAACAATTAACGCATACGCATGGCAGGCATATATGTACATATATATCGCATATATCTATTTGTATATGTATGCATATGTGTGCTTGGCGAATTCAACAATTTCATTTTGGTTGCTTCGCAAAAAATAAACATAGGAAATAGTACACCAAATTGTGTCCCCGAGGGACAAATTGTGTGCGTTGTCCATGTGAGTGCGAACAATAAAATTTACTGTTGCCGTAGTTCGTGTTGTTGTTGTTGTTGTTGTTGCAGTTGCTGTTGTCGTTGGTGCAATGGCTGTATTTGTGTGTGCGTCACCCACAATGTCGGCCAGAACTTTTATTGTTGAGCCACATAATTAATTGTCGTAGTTTCTGGGTGTTAAATAATTAGAAAACAAGTTTTCAAGCCATTAATCACATTGAGGGCCACACAAAAAATAGAAGAAAAAAAAAAAAAAAAAATAACGAACTGCTGTCCAATTTAATAGCGAAAGCTTTACAAACTGCCACACACACATCAACACCCTCACACACATCAACACCTCTGCCATGGGGCACAAATTGAGACAGGCTGTTTGCCTGCAAATGCATTAGAGAAGGTCGTCCCCGATATGGCTTCTGGCCAGCAGCTGTAAGTTGTTCCAAATCACAGTATAATCCCGTAATTTACATAAAATATGGTCATAGGTCAAAGGGCAGGGTATAAAGAGGTTCCACACACAGAGGAAGAGAGAGAGAGAGAGAGAGAGAGAGAGAGAGAGAGAGAGAGGTATATATATATAGCCTTGTGTCTATTTCATTCAAACATCATTATGCCATAAATTGCTGTTGAATCCTTGATCATTTATTAAATTTGTCCTCATTTCGACTCAATGTGCGTGTGTGTGTGTATGTGTGGCTCAGTTTTGTGGGATAGGCCGGCTACATTAACAAGTTCAATTTGATATGCGCTGCGTGTATTAAAGCTAATAAGGGTTTTTACGACTTGACCAAGCCGAATTCACGTCAGCATTGGGTGACCCTGTGTTAATTATGGGGTTTCACTTTAAACTGTGCTTCGTTTTTAAGGCTCTCCTCTGCTCATGACTGATAGATATTTACATGGTAATGCGCTTAAAAATGCTGCTAATGAAACGTCAATTATGTGCGCCTCTTTGGGGCGACGCACGTGACCGACTTGTCAACGCAAGAGGCATATCCAATTTAACCCTCAAATGACTGTCATTATGACAGGACCTGTGGCAACAACAATAACAACAACAACAACAACAACAATAGCAGCAACAGCAGCTCCAACCGCAATGACAACAACAATAACAATAACAACATCGTTGAGGCCAGCTCTCGTCGCTTTGCCACTGAGTTATTAGCGAATCGTGATTGGCATAAATCAGTGCAACTCGAGGCAATGTAGAGAGAGAGAGAGAGAGAGAGAGAGAGAGAGAGAGAGAGCAGTTGACAGAGCAGCTGTATGCGTGGCAACCTAACCTGGCGAATGCACCTGACCAACACGCTTTCCACTTAACTCTACTTGGCGCTTTTTCAACACTACAATTTATGAGCCAAACTGTCGCTCTCTTTCCCTCTTCCTCTCTTACTCTTACCCACCCTCTCTCTCTTTCTGTGCTTGTCTGTTCATCCTTCTCGCTTGACATTGTTAACTCTAATGAATAAGTACTCGACTTGAGGATGACCTATCCCGAGAGAAGTGAGTGAAGATGGGAACATGAGCTTGAGTTGATGCGCGCTCTTGATATAAAACTTCATATAAAGGAGTCAAGGGAACTGGGTGAAGCTAGTAATGTAATCTCTGCAGCTTGTCATACCCCATTTCACGTAGCTCTTAGGCAGAGGGTATTCAAATGCATAACTTAAGCACACTTACATCTAGATGGATGTCGTTTATGTGGCATTTATGCTGAAAACGAAAGCATATTGATTCGCTGCTGGCATTTACATAACCGAAACGATATTTTGGAAGCCGGTTTGCCGCATTGCAGACAACTGGGCGAAGGCATCGATTTGCATGGCATTAGAGCAGCAGCAGCAGCGGAGCAGCAGGAGCGGCCGCATCATTATGCAAAGCCATTGTGATAGCATCTGAGTCGCTGAGCATCTGCTTACCCGGGTCAAGCATAACAGATAAGTGACGACCTGTTAATCATTCGCCTATAAAACTAACATTAGCATTAGCATTGGCATTAGCATTGAGCGAGCACGCATACATGCACACATACGCACATATATATATGTACATATCAATCGCATTAAGCGTGCCACACTTTGGTTTCATTTTGCAATGCGCTGCGCGTCGTTCGCTTTGTTGCACAAAGGATTTAATTAGTTTTTCTTTCATTTGCTCGGGCGCGCACTGTAATTGCTTTTAACACTTTGGCTGTCTGAAGCGTGGCGCTGGCCAGCCAAAAATGAAGCATTTAAATGGAAATGGAATTAGGAGCGCGCCAATGACGAGTGCCGTTCAAGTGCCGTCCATGGCGTCCATCGTTGCTCTAATGAAATACTTCGTGTCGTGCGCCTGTCCACATTATTAACAGCTTCCGAACTTTTGAATTTACGAATTAAAAGCGAAAGAGCGGCAAAAAACGACGGACGAGAAGCGCATTTAAGCTAACTCACACACACACACACACTCTCACAAATAACAGTTTTCATTGCAGCTGAAACAATCGCAGCATAAAGACAGTGAACGCTTGAAAAAGTGTTTAATTTAAATTGTGGCTCAAA